AGAAATGAAATTAAATGAATAATAAAAGAAAGTTGCTCTTGTAACATTCTACACATATATCAAATATCAAACTCCTTCAAAAAGTTTTGATTTCCGTCTTCATGTCCCAAACAGGCTAAAGTTGGGGCATCACCACAGCCTTAAATGTCCCTCTAGTTGCTGGTTACATACTAGTTAGTCTTTTATTCATGTATAAATTTGGGTAAACCATATTGAATTTTGCATAGGGCAGATGCAAAAAAAAAGAAGAGATGAAAAGACTGGGGTAAAAACTTGATACCCATATAACAATAATATGGATTGCATTCAAGACAAATCCTATCTCATGGGCTATGTCAAGAAATGCATCAAGTTAAATGAGGTCTCTTAGATATAAATGTCATCATAAAACATAAGATTGTTCAATGCCCTATCAAGAACTCAAGTGTCCCTTTGTGGAGGTACAGCTACTTGAAATCAACTAGTACTTTATAACCAAAGTACATTTTACTATGTATCATGTGTGAAATAATTCAGTTAGTTCAGAAATATTAAAAAAAACGTTTTTTAGGGGCCAGCCTGGTGGCGTACTGGTTAAGTTCACCGACTCCACTTCGGTGCCCCAGGGTTTGCGGGTTCAGATCCTGGGAGTGGACCACTCACCGCTTGTCAAGCCATGCTGTGGTGGCGTCCCACATACAAAATAGAGGAAGATGGGCACAGCGACATCTTCCTCAAGCAAAAATGAGGAAGATTGTCAACAGTCGTTAGCTCAGGGCCAATCCTCCTCACCAAAAAAAAAAAATAATAATAATATATATATACATATATATATATATATATATGTTTTCTAAAGTTATTATACGACATGTGAACATGCCATAATCCTTCAAAGAAAATCAGGGTGTTTTTAGTGACACTGGCAAAGTTACAAGTTGCACTGAAATCCCAGGAAGCTTAATGGAAACAAGAAGCTACCAATAGAAAAAGAATGCAATTTTTTTCAAAGCTTTGGTTTCATTTTCATTAAACATATAGTTTGGTGTGATGATACAAAGCATGATATGTAGTATCTGGTATATCTTCTTTATACATTAAAGAGAAAAAATATGATAGCTCAGGAAATAACTTCTTATATTAGAGATTGAAAAAAGGAATTTACTGCAGCCAAGGTGAATCAGTGATTTCTCTATTAGTGCAATAATTTAAGCAATCTCTTATTTCAGTCTACCTACTACCAGAATTCAGTTAAGGTGTTACAAATGTACATTCCAAAACTTCCAAGGTTTAATTATTTACACCAATACTCTTCAAATCATAGATCACAGATCTGCAGCATCGATATCATGTTGGAGCTGCCTAGAAATACAAATCCTTAGGCCCCATCCCAGAACTACTGAATTGTAACTCATGGTGATAGATACCATTAATCTGTGTGTTAGCAAGTTCTCCAGGAATTCTTATGCACACCAAAGTTTAGGAAGCTTTGCTTTCATTCTTCATTTGGGAATGAAGGATGTCCAAGAAGGATAGTCAGGACTGAATCTGGAGTAGCATTTGTAAGAAAGCAATGACACTTTCAGAGAGTTTGCACCATAATTTGGTTATATTTACAAATGAGGCTAGCATGAAGCTCGCTTTCATTAATGATTGTGTATGGGGGTTAAGAAATATCAACCACATAGTGCTGGCAAAGGAGGAATCCCTGGTGAGTCTTGATCTCCTACAGGGTATACCATCTTCAGAGATGTTGTTGTAACTGTTTTGTTTTGCTTTTTTTTGGTGAGGAACATTGGCCCCCAAGCTAACATCTCTTGCCAACCTTCCTCTATTTTGTATGTGGGCCGCCACCACAGCATGGTTTGATAAGTAGTGTAGGTCCACACCCAGGATCTGAACCCATGGACCCGGGCCACCGAAGTGAAACATGCCAAACTTAACCATTATGTCACTGGGCCAGCACCTGTTGTAACATTTTATAACACAAGCAAAGAGAAATGAATTTTCTCTTATTTCAGTGACAAGTAGTTTGGATTCTTTGATTTCAATAGAACCATAAAGACAAAAAGAAAACCCATTTAGTCTGCATAAGAGAGTGTCGTAAAAAATGTAGCTAATTCTTTAGAGTCTGGAGTGTCTTAAAGCCTAAGATTATGGGCCAAAAATATAAAGGTCTCCAATAATCTCATCAAATAAGAGATAATCAAACTGTATATTAATGTATTATTTATACCCCCAAGTTGCAGAAATAAGTAACTAAATTAATTTTGCATTTGCTGATCAAAATTTCCTTATAAAGGAGAGCGTTGTTAATAAGAGAATGAAATTCTTCTCAACAAATATTTACCAAGTACATCCAACATGCCATCATTTGTCATAAGGCTTTGAGACATAAAAGTTTTGAGATGTGATCAGATGGAAAATCAAATCCATGAGATCCACAAAAATGATGTTCTGATTTAAATGCAAGTTGATGTCACTGTGAGAAAAATGTGGTTCTACTAAAATTTTCCCAAGGGCCTCTTTCATGTTCCTGTTCCTAAGGCTGTAGATAAAGGGGTTCAACATGGGTGTGACCACCCTGTACATGAGAGCCACAATGGTCTCCTTGTCAATGAAATTGCTTAATTTTGGGAAAAAGTACTATACAAATATAACCCCATAATATAGAGACACCACAGAGAGGTGGGAGCCACACGTGGACAACAGTTTGCAGATACCCTTGGTTGAAGGGACTTTCTTAATGGTGGCCCCAGTGTAGCCATAAGATACCAGGATACATATGAATGGCAGGGTAACGACTACCACCCCTACTGTGAACATGACCAACTCATTAAGAAAGTTGTCTGAGCAGGACACCAAGGGCACAGAAGAAATGGGAGACAGTGTTAGCAGCACAGAAGGATAACTGGGTCAGGAGAAGGGTGTGGGAAAGGGAGCTGGCACAGGACAGGATATAGCCACTAGTAAGGCACACAGCTCTTCCCTCATGATAGTGGTATAGTGAAGAGGGTGACATATGGCAACCTAGCGGTCATATGTCATTGACAATAAAGAAGCTGTCCAGGTCAGTAAAAAATATGGAAAAAATATATCTGTGAAATGCACCCTGCATAGGGGATGGATTTGTATTTAGTGTGCATGTCCATCAGCATCTTTGGGACAGTGACAGATGAGACAGAGACATCGGTGAATGCCAAGTAGCTGAGGAAGAAGTACACGGAAGTGTGGAAGTGAGAGTCCAGCCTGACAAGTAGGATGATGAGCAGGTTCCCCAGCACTGTGGTCAGGTACATGACCAGGAAGAGGCTGAAGAACATGCCCTGCAGCTCTGGCAGGATGGGGAGCCCCAGGAGAAGGAATTCAGACATGCTACTTTGGTTTTCCTTCTCACGCTACTTTTTTCTCTGCTGGGAATGAAGAATGGTTGTGAATATTAAGGTCTCTGAAATACTCATTTTTAGGAGTCATGTGAAAAATATGTATGTTATATTTTGGAAAGTGGGAAACTTAACCTGTTTCTCATATGTTCTTTATATGTTGGCCCATAAGGGAATTAGAAAAATTGTCGATGAGGAAGTGTTAATAAGAGCCAGCTTTTCTCGGTTCACTGACAAAATAGAATTTTTGTCCCTGTGGCACTGAGTACCAGACCATGGAATACAATGTCTCAGCCATGATATTGCCCCAAGAATGCTCTGTGGTGCGTATTTCAAATCATTAGCCATGGCACAGCAACCTTTAGAAAGTTTGACTTCAACACCCATTGCTAAATTTCAGATGGGAGGCAGACTTTTCAATTAAAATGATGCAAAAAATGTTATTGTATTCCTTAAAAAACATTTATCAATATACATACATTTTGTTGATTTCAATTCAGTAGAGGGTCTTTAAGAAACTCTAGGTTGTGTTTATCCATTCTTCCTACTGTAGCCAAAGAGAGATTTTTTTTGGGGGGGGTGGTGAGGAAGATTAGCCCTGAGCTAACATCTACTGCCAATCCTCCTCTTTTTGCTGAGGAAGATTGGCCCTGGGCTAAAATCTGTGCCCATCTTCCTCTACTTTATATGTGGGACGCCTGCCAGAGCATAAGCAGTGTGTATGTCCACGCCTGGGCTCTGAACCTGTGAACCCTAGGCAGCCGCAGCAGAGCGTGTGAACTTAACCACTATGCCATGGGGCTGGCCTCGGAAGATTTTTTTTTTTTTTAACTATATTTCTTTTGTTAAAACCTAAATGAATTCATCTGTTAAAAATTCTCAAAGGATTCTCACTGATCTTAAGATGAAGTGTAACAACCGTAACATGGCTTAAAGACTCTGAAAAATCTGTCTCTTTCCTACATTTCCAGCCTCTTGTCTCTCACCCCTACCCTTACTGACTTCTCTGTAAGGAGTGACATTGTTTACTCTGATCCCAGCCTCCTACATCTTCTCCCTTTCAATGATACTTCAATGTCATTCTCAACTTCAGGTTTCCTCATATTGCTTCAGAGGTCAGGAATGATCTAAACATTTCCTGCACGTTTAAACATTATGGACTAAATAAGTGACCCTTTGGAGGGACATTTGTCCTTAGAAAGCACATACACTCATTCAGCAACTGGACCTTCAAAACCTACGATGGATAAGGCCCTGTACTAGAATGTCGTCCTGACTAAACAGGGACAAGTGAAAAACATTCCCATTGTTGGCATGTGGAGCATTTTTAAAGGCAGTGAGGGAGATATTTTTGAAGTATATGAGGCTTTCCTGAAACTCCTGGCTTAACCACCTAAACACTTTTGGAGTGCTTACACTCTGGGCTGTCCAGATACGATTTTCTATGACTGAATCCAAAGCAGGTAGAAATTGCTCCTGAAAAACTCTGGCTTCCAGTACTCTGTCTTTATTGCTTCGGTCACTTTTGTCTCTTTTTGCCTTTTTCTCTTCCTGCCTATCCCTTCACTTTATCTTTCTCTCACTCATTTTGTCCTTCTTCCCTCTCAGTTCTCACTCTGTCTGCCTGTGTATCTGCATGCTTCCATCACCCCATGTCTCTATTCCTCCTCTCTCTCTCATTCTATTTTTTTTTTCCTCTCGTCTCTTCCAAGCCAAAGTCAGCTTTCTGATTCTTCCTCTTCTCTACCCATATATAAGCCCATATATTGCTGAGAAAAAAATACCCATTCCATCCCCAATACTGACCTTGCCTGCATTTATGATCCAGTGTTTGGTGGGTAAGTGTGTCCTGAGATTCTCTTTAGAGTACCTAAGTATCAGCTTCCAGGGTCCTAGACAACTTTGGGGCATCAAAAAGAAAAGCTACAAGCTCAGACTCTCACCCCTGTCTGCTAGCCCCAGATGTATAAACTAAGGAGTATAACCAGCCAAGGAGAGAACCCTAGGGGGTAGGGAGCAGGACATGTAATTTGCAGTTAAAGACGTCCATCAAACTTGGATTAATTGCTCAATTTTCCCCTTTATTCCTCTAGAAAATATATGAAAAGGATGTTTTTACTGGGAGCCTTAGAGAATGAGCCTGCAGATAAAGGCTCTCAAGGCACTGTCAGTCTCTTTTCTGTTTCAGGCTCTGCTTTCCCAGCCATAATTACACTTTGGCATAGGATGAACTCCAGAGAATTTAAAGAAAAAAAAAAGAATTACTGGTTCCAACCATATCCAAATAGAAAGCCAAATGACTGAACGGCTTCTGAGAATTTAGGTAGAACCACATCCCACTTAAAGGGATCTTATTGGACCCTACCCACCAGGTAACTGAAATGAAATGACTGTGTTTCTTCTCTCTGGTGATCATTATGAAACACAAAGTGGGAAGAGGCAGGGTAATCATGTTTTTTGGAGGATTTTTGCTTTAGTGACAAATTTAGGTTAGGTTACATTAAGTAAAAATAGTTTTCAAGGAATAAAGGAAAGAAGGGAAGAAGGAAGAAAGTTGAAGGGAGGAAGATGGGAAGGAAAGAAGGAAGGAAGGAAGAAAGAAAGGAAGGAAAGAAGGAAAGAAGGAAAGAAAGGAAAAAGGGAGGAAGGGAGGGAAAGAGGAAGGGAGGAAGGGAAAATAGACTGAAAACCACCCACAAAGAAAACAAACTTGCAAGTAGGAAAAAAAGTTGGCACACACATCCAAAAAAATTGACTCTTAAAATTGAAACACTTCAGGTTCTTCGAAAATAACCTTTTGAATAAAATGATCATTTAGTGTGGCATTTGTTATTCTTAGGGGTGAGATATACAGGACAAAGTATTTATAGCTTGAGATAATAATCTTTGAGGGTTTGTTTTGGCTGTTTCAATATCTGAGTTTAAGAGGTGGTAGATAGAGCAAAACCTATATCTGGGCAGCTTCTTTCTATGTGGGATCACCCTGTATTAATGCCACAACTTTATGTACCTTGGAGCAGAGGGACTTTGGAAACTCTGTTAACTCAGAATTGTTGAATTCTAGCACATGTCCCATGGTTAGCATTCTAGGCAAAAGCCAGAGAAGTTACCAGAATATTGGCCAGTAGCAGCTTAGCCAACTCAGTGGGCCGTAAACTAGATTGGGCATAGATACTGGATTCCCTGGGAAGGACACAGCACGCACTTGGTGCACTGGGAAAGGAAACTCCATGGGGGGCAAGTAGGTAAAGTCAAACAGACAAAAAGACTTGGATACAGGATGTAGGGAGCTCGGGTACTGGATACACGAAGCTATGTAAGCAAGCGGTACAGATGGTAGACTGCAAGGCACAGACAATGGTATGTGTGGTGGGTTTGGGCAGACTGAAATACAGTGAGTCAGGGTGGAGACACCTTGGCTTAAGGTCTGATGTACTGTAGACAGGAGAAAGACCTGTGGCAGGCAGCATGGGATAGAAGGTCACAGAGGAGCTGACAATAGGATAGATGCAAGACAGGCTTCTAAATGGAAAGCAAAAAACAAGATATTGCAACTTTCATTGCACTCAGAAGACCTCTTCACATTTTGGAGAGAGCACATGCCACACCTGCAATATTGCTCTGACCAAAACTGACCAATAGACTGTCAGTTTTAAGTCGGATCTAGAACAATAGAAGGCTCTGCAGCTGATTCAGTTGGTTGTACAAGGGACCCTGCTAATTTGATCATCTAAATTGGCAGAACTCATGGTGCTGGAAGTATCCATGGTAGATAATGACACCACATGGAACCTCTGGAAAACTCCATTAGAAGAGTTGCAATGCCATGTTTCCGGGGCCGGAAGCTACTGGCAAACTACTGGGCCTTAGTAGAGACTGAGTGCCTAACCATGGGACATCAAGTGACTGGAGCTGAGTACTGCCAGGCAAAAAGTCATAAGGTCAGGTAGACACAACAGCAAGTCTGGGACTAAGCATCAGTATGTCTGAAGAGCAAAAGTGAATTTCAGAAACAGGTTGTCTGGATTCTCATATTATCTATCTATGTTGCATTGATGTCTCTTCCTCTGCTCACACCTATGACCTCATGTGCTGTTCTATACAACCAACTGATAAAGGGAAAAAATCCTGGGCTTGATTCGTGGGTCAACTACATACGTTTGTGGGAGCTGAAAATTGACTGCTGTTCCAATTCAGGTCTGATCAGGGTGGCTCTGAGCAACAGTGATACAGGGAAGTCCTTCCTGTTCAGAAAGCTTTTGAGCAGTACACCTGGTCATATCTTTCTATAAATGGCCTGGGGTAAGAATATACGTGGATTTTTGGGCATTGGTGAATAGTTTAGTTATTGTCAGGGGCCTAAAGGGAGTAAGAATGAAAGTTCAGAGACAAAGAGTATTTGGGTCGAAAACAAGTGGATGAACCTATGAGAGTGGATACAAAGTATACAGGCTTTTCTTCCTGGACCACTGTCTTTCCCGTGAGATTCAGCAGTGGTTCACAAAACTGTTTAAAATTTTCATTACTTATAAAAGAAATGCATGGTTATAAAAATTTTATGGCAAATAAATATTTTTAAAACACATAAATGCCTCTACTCCCAACAACAGAATACAGCTTCTGTTATAATTTTGGAGCATATTCTTCCAGGTTTTAAAAAAAATGATAATATGCATTTTTGCAAATAGTTGTAAACCTGCCTATATATAATTTTCTATTATGATCTTTCAAAAATTATGTCATAGGCTTTTCATAAACATCATTTTAATGGTTATGTAATATTACTTCCAGTGGCTATGTACCATAGTTGCCTTAACCCTTCCCTTATTGATAGAAACTAGGCCGTAACCAATTCTTATATTTTAAAAGTATGCTGTAGTTAGACATCTTTCTGCATAAAGCTTTTTCTGTACTAGGCAAACAGTAGAAACTGTTATATGTAAAAGCCTACACCCCCTAATACCAGACTCCAATGACTCCATTTTGTTACAGCTTTGGCACTTGAATTAGTTTACTTCTCCCCTACAAATTAGCCATCAACTTGAGTGCCTTCAGCACTTGTGTGAATGAGCCATTCAACAACGTGGCATATTTATTCTCTGATCTCATCTTCCATGACCTTGACTTCTACTGCATTTTAGCAATCTCTTCCCATGGCCATATTACAATAACTGGAACTTATGAAATATTAAATTTGAACATTCAATTCTTGCTCTCTCATTCAACTCCACCCATCATTCAGGATCTTTGACCTCATAAATCTATCCAATCTCTGATCATGTCCATTTTTTCCCCAAATTTGTTTTGTCTTCACTCTATTATCTCTCCAGATGTATCTCACAGTTTATCACTCTTACCAATTTTATGGAGTCTTTACCACAGTGGCCTTCCTTCCCATCCATCTAGTGAAGTTTCAATGTTTAATCAGTTCAACTAGCCACCTTCTGCACTTACTTACTTTCCATTTATTCCTCAATCCACTGTAGTCTAGGTTCTGTTCCCACCACTCACTGTCATTGCTCCTGGTAACATCACCAAAATCCTCCTTACTCCTAAGTTAAATGGGTATTTTTCAACACTTAACCTTCTCTTCCCTTAGCTCCAATGATCCCACCTTTTTATATTTTCCTTCTGTCTTTGGTTGTTTTTCGATGCCTTTTTTGGGACATTTTCTCTCTACCACTTCCTTAATTGTCAATGTTCCCTATGGTGTGTCTTCAGCCTTGCTCTCTTCCCTTCCCTTGTTTTTCTTTCCCTCTTCTCCTTCCCCACCCCGTGCCTCCTCTCCATTCTTGTTCTCTTTATCAACTTTCGTTATTCATGTAATTTCTTTTTAGGCAATCTCATCCTCTTCTATGTTGACAGCCCATGAATTTCTATCTCTATCCAAAATATATCCTCCTGCCTACTGAATTTCTTCTCATGGATGACCCACAGGCACTTCATACTCATTGTGTTAAATACTTGTTAGATCTGTTTGTCCTTCTATGTCCCCTGTCTCAGTGAATATCACAACTATACACCCACTTGTTCAAGCCACAAATTTAGAGAGGTTTTTAACTCCTTTGTCTTCCTCATTTTAGATAGTTTTATCAAAATCAACTCACATTGAAATTACCACGTCCTTCAGATTTTGTCTCTGAAGGAGACTGAAATCCATATAATTCTCTCCAACTCTATTATCTCCCTTAGATAGACTTCCATAATCTCCTAACTAAATGACTGTGACCACTTCCTAACTGGTCTCCTTGCTTGCTTCTGGTCTTGCATCTCACCACTCTATTCCTGTGCTGCCAGCATTTGCTCCATTCACTGCAAATACATGCTCATGAACTTTACTCATAGTGATAGTTTTTAATATGACACTGTCAATATTCTGATCAAATCCTTCTACGGCTTTCCCTTTCCTTTTGGTTGAAGTGAAAATTGTTTAACTTTCAAGGCTTCCAAAGTTCTGCATGATTCATTCCTGCTAATTTCTCTGGTCTCATCCTGAACCTTTTCCCCTTTTGACGTGTACATTTCAGCTATTTTATTTTTCCTGACAAAAGTTTTCCAAATTTGCCATCCTTTCTCTTCTCCAGGTCTTTTCCTATTCTTCTCTTTTACTCTATTCCACACATCTGCCTCTACACTGTCCATGTCACCTTTTACTTGTTTTGATTCTCTCAGATCTCTGCTTACATGTAACTTCCTACAAGCCTAGCTTGCTTGGCCTGCTAAATTTGGGTTTGATATCCCTCCTCTGTGCTCCCACAGCACTCAGCTCTCACCTTCATTACAACATTTGACACACAGTGTCTTGTCTATCCTGTTCCTTAGATTGGGAGCTCTTTGAGAGAAAAACACTGTGTTTTCAAATATTTACTCACAGTGCTCACAAAATCATTGCCACATAGTTGGTACACAAAATTTTTATGAATGAGTAAACGAATGAGTGAATTATTGGAAAAATAATGAATAAAATGGCTCCACTTGATTTTTTGTCTCTTCTCTATATTTCCAAATCCAAATGGAACAGATTTCCAAGAACTTCTCACACTTATTCTTATGGTTAAAGATTATGTTTTGGTCCCTGAGTATGTGCCAACTGTTATGTGTCATAACTGTCAAAAAAATCCCTACATGTATTCAGGTGTTTCTGTAGGAAGAAAAAAACTCTCTTTTTCTGAGAAACAGAAGCCCAACTGTTCCTTGATAAGTGTTTTTATTCCCTAGGGATTAGTAGCACCTCTCCTCCCAGTTCCAGATTGAATGTGAGAAGGAAGAAGTCCGTATGATACAGAGCCCACTATTACAAAGGAGGCATCATGGTGCAATGAAACTAGGCTTTTGGTTTGAAGTTAATGAATTCAGGTTTGAATACTCATTTGGCCATTTTATTTTGAGGCACTCTCAAACACAATAAAATGAGAAAAATGTTATCTATCTCAATAATTATTGTGAGGATAAAATGAACTCATAGATATGAAAATTCTTTATAAATAAACGCATCTGCAAATAATAAAAGTCCTCATTTGCATTCCCAAAGGAGTTGACTATCTTTAGTATCTTGCAAAGGCACATCTCACCTGGGAATGGTTAAGGGAAATGCAGTAACTATTCTCAAATTGTCCCTCAAAAGAAACTTGTGGCCTGGGTCCTCTGGGTTGCAAGTCTGGCTGATAAAATTGGATACCCATGTCATTGCCTAGATCTGGTGAAAAAGAGAGAGTATACCTCCTCCTCACTTCAGGGTTGACCTTGTGACTTTTCTCCTTGTCCTAGCTCTAAATATTTTGGAGAGAAAATGAAAAATTAGTTCATATCCAGGAGCTCATAGTATTTGAATTCACTACTCCCGAGATAGGTAAGGACAATACATTTAGACTTCACTCAGCAATATGTGTGTGCGTGCATGTGTGTGTGTGTGTGTGTGTGTGTGGACTGCTACAAAATCTTACAGATTTGTGCCTGTTGCTTTATACAATTTTGTTGTGTCATCTCAGATAACTTAGGTGGACACAATAATTATAATTCCTTGGGGTTTATACTTCCCCCCTAGGAAAATGTTATCTCTTTCACAGTTTTGCTGAA